CAAAACCCCAAAACCCCAAAACCCCATAAGTCTTTCGATCACATTTTTTTAAACTGATAATTTAAAATTATAATTAAAGAAATGCAAATAGTAAAGAGGCTCTATGTCAAATAAAATCAGGCTCAAAATGTTAACTCGTAATACTTTTAAATTCTCGGTATTCATCTTTAAAATAATTAGTGATTTATTTCATGTGATGCCTGAAAGCTTAGAATCACCTGCGAGGAGCAGAGCTGTTTCACCTTTGCAAGCTGATAATAAACGACAATCTCTTAGCACATTTAATGATCAGAAGAATCAGGCTTCCTTTAGAGCTAGACCCTCAAGCGCCAACACAAAAAAAATAAATAACAATCATACTAAAAAATATACTGTCAAGGAAGTAACTGCATTTTAGGGTTGGAATAATGTGCCGCCTTAAAAACCTTAATTAGCACAGTAATAGTAAAAAAATGAGGGGTAAACAAGAATTTCATAGTTGCTTAGAGACTAATTCTCGCCAATTAACAGGCATGCGAATCCATATTTTAAGGATTCAAAACCATAATCAAGACCTTTAACTGCACTAGGAGGCCATGAAAAATAAAAGAATAACTAAGTATTTGATTCTTCTTCTTATTCAAATCATTAAAATCAGCTATCTATCTAGCCAATGCTTTAAAGAATGGTTGAATAAATTAAAATTGTTAAAGATTTCGCCAAAAGTTAAAAGGGCCAAGAGTACATCAGTAACATGCATAAGAAAACATCAATGAAGGATTAAGCACCCTAAAACGGACCAAAGTTTGTATAAGTATCAAAGACAGTGAGTTGAAATTTAAATACTATTATCAATGAAAATAATCAACAGACAAATGCAGCTATAGATGAGATTACATAAAGAATACAGAGTTTTAATGATCCAAGCAAATATAAAATGAATAGTACAGCTGTTAATATCTAAGGAGAAAACGATGAACAAATAAAGGGCCTTAATAATTACTCTAGTACCTAATCCTTAAATATCAATAATTTGCAAATTTATTCTTAGGATAAGTCTAATATTTAAAAGAAAAAAATCTCAGGACCTTTTCCGAATAAGTAAGCATTAGATTTTAGAATTCAAAAGCCTAAGAAACTGTTAAACGATTAGTAAAGATACATCTATCCAAGTAAAATAAACCTAGGACTTAATGTTTTTGATGAGAGCGATGTCTCTGAAGAAAATATTAATTAACAATATTATCATGAGCAGAATTAAATTAATCCGAGCAGTAAAAATCTAAGCAATAATCCTGGCGAAAATTTAAAGGGCAATAATAAATAAAACATTAGTCCTTTGGTGACTAAGCTCAAAGGTAACAGGTCTTTCACTAATATTTATGAGGATGAATATGAGAAAGACAATCTTAATACTACTCATAATTACAATCGAAGTTCAAGTTCCCTGAATATGCTGTAAAGGTCATAAACTTTTTAATAAACAGAGGAGAGCAAAAAGAACAGAGTAATCATACAAAGTAAGATACAAACTTCAACTGGTGAAACTAAAATACTTAATTTTTAGTATATTAAGACTGACACTTTCAATAATACAAGAAGCAATTAAGATCAATTAGATACACCAAATCTAAGTAAAGCTGGCTCATTTGTTATAAGATAAGATGAAGATAAAAAGATTAGGCAAAGTAGTATAAAAGATGTGCAATCACCAGCATAGGAGTGTAATACTTAGAAAGATTAGGAAAAACTAAAAGTTTAGTATAAGGATAAACTTTTGATTAAATACAAGAGACCATTTACCCCTGAGAAATGGGCTATATCTAATGCTATAATGATTAACTTTTCAGAGTAAAATCTTCATTAGCTCTAAAAGACTAATCAAATTTCAAATGCTAATAGAGATCGGAAAGTTTATAAAATTCAAAGGAATGAAAAGACTAATTAGCATAATAGAGAGTAAATTAAACAAATAATTTCAAAAGATAAAAGTCAAAACCTGTTTGATAAGCCTGAATTTATAATAAATGGAAAAACTAATCATTAAACAACAATTATTTCTAATAATCAGAATTAAATACCAACCTCAAATATGGAATAAAAAACAAGGAACATGAAAGATTTAAATTTAAAAGCTGTAAAATAAGTAAAATCAAAGAATAGAATGGTCTATTCATCCAGAATTTAGCAAGGTTCATAGTAATCTGGAATTAAAAGAAGAAAAAAGTCTAAAAATAAAAATGCTATCGCAGTTACAATTAACATTGAGAGATTAGAAAATGCTTAATAAAATGACTAGAGTAAATATTAGCCACTGTGAACAAATATTAATACTACTTACCCTAAGTAAAGAGTCGGTTTTAAAGTTATATATTACTTAATACAAGTATTTAGTAAAAATTATTAAAAATAGGTTTTTTATTTTACCAGAAACATTTATCAAATAATACAGCATTAGGGGTTTTGGGGTTTTGGGG